TACGTATGTACATAATACAATGATATTTCTAATGCAGGAGCACTTTGGATCCACGAACACAGCCAGCACTCTGGAGTCTGCACGCGTTCAGACATTGTGTTCTTTAAACAACCTACATGTTCATGTACATGTACATGTACGTGCAGTATATGAACGTGTACCAATTGCCCTTGTTCGTCATCAAAAGACACACGTACATGTACATGTATTGAAGGAACACCCTCAGCTGATCAGTATTGCATATTGTTATACAGTACAATTAATTAATCACAGATCGACAACGTCATGTAACACACTACATGTACTAGTACTTTACATTGTGTGTATGGACATAGAGTTGGTGGACAAGCCGTTGATTATTCACTCTCATTGTAATATCAAAAAAGTATTCTTTCTAGACCAAAGAGTGGTATATTTGATAAAATTTAATAACGATAGAAATATTTACGATACTTCTCCAGACGTTTCATTGTTCTGAACAACATCGTCAGTGGATAAAGAAATTCTGTATGGACATACTTCATCTAGAACATAATGTGAAATGTACTTTCAACTTCTTGTGCTATACATGGAGTATGTACATGTGTTGGGGCGTTTGATACACAAAAGCTCTCTTGTCTCCCATGGTGTGTGATGTTAATGCGCTGCTGGGGAAGCCGACAAACAACAATGGGTCTTGGTACGGTTTTAGACTGACCTCAGAGGAATGTGAAATGCATCTGTGCGGTGCCTCGACGGACCTGACGCGGTATTTCATATTTATAGCTGGCTTGCCGCCGACAAGTGTACATTGCTCATGTACAACGCAGGTCTGGTAGTGATATACAGGAGTACAGTCACGTATAGTGGCACACTATTTTATCCTCTGCTGTCTGAAGGGGCGAGAGTGTCCTATACTAGTACAATGGAATGTGGTGTAGGCAAAATATGCACCAGACGTGAAGACACATAAGCCACAAGCTCGATACTAGTAGATAGACTGCGAGTTGCTACTGCTATTCTTAGTTTCGGGGTACAGAGTGGTGAAGGACTGCAGAGTGGACCGGACCGGCAGCAACCCGCTTTTACAAATCTATGTTCAGGACTCTTGGCCCGGTGAGGGCAATGGCCAGTACGTACACAGGAGAGCTGTGTGCTGTTGTGGTTGCAGCTGCCAATGACCACCGACACAGGTTGCACGACTTTCACCATCTCGTCTGCAATAGTCATTTGCCAACAAACAGATATGGATCAATTGTTTCCTGAAGACAACTTTGCTACCCGTTCAAAACACACTACGTGTACTAGCCAGCTCTAATGCTACAAGCACTGCCCATCGCGAGTATCTGTCGTTGGGAATTCCATCAAACAGCCTCCATCGGTAGCTAGTAATAGTTGTGTGCAAGGAATAACTTACTGAGCCACAACCAATGGCAATGGCAAGGTGTCACGGTGCAGCGACCAGCAGCACCCCAACACACCACTGGGTCTGTATGGGCTGGCTCGAACTGTATGACCACTTCTTTCTGCCTACTCCTCAGGAGAGTCAGGATAGAACCCTCCAAGATGGTATAGTGTAATACTACATTGTACATGACATTGTGCTACTAGTACAATACATTACCAAGAGCCCCGGATTATGGCCACATTCTTTTGCAGAGGTATGTTATTTTCGTCAAACACAGCCAAAGCAATGAATTACTAGTATGACGGAACGAAGCAGGAGAGAACAGAGACAACTAATGATAGTATTACGCTGGGGACCACACAAGGTGACCGTACCATGTACTAGCACACATTTAATAGCTACAGCACTTTCAAGAGTGACTGAAAGAACAGTCTGAATTCTTGGTACAAGGCACACGCACACCAGTCTACAGCATAACGATTACAATTAGGGCTGGGACTGAGCAGTGATACGGAAAGCGCGATGTTCGAATATGATTATCCCGTTCCTAAGTACCAATAGAATGTTTGTCCGCAGAATGCAAGAACAGACGCACAGTTGATCATGTACATACACAGATTATCGTTTCACGAGACGTTTAAGATGGAGTGTGCCTTGCAGGTGCCAGGCAGCCCGCACAAGCCGGAAAGAGTCCTTCCCGCCCTTACCAGGAACGATCTCACTTGCCAATGCGAACACCACTTGCTGCAAGGCGGGCAAATAGCCAATGCCCAGATGATGACGCAACAGCCGTGATTGGAACAAGATGATTTTGATACACTTAGACGTCACCGAGGGAGATCAAGACATTTGTCGAAGTTCTGAAGTACCCGGGAACGCAGGCTCGCGAGTCGCCAATACTGGCAATAGACGTGAACTTTATGGTGTCATCCTTATAGCACGACCACCACATCACATGTATCGAACTCGAGGCCTACGCAATGCCAATGCCTAGATGTACACTGTACAGGGGCTGCGGTTGTATTATATCTACACAGAGTGGTGCATGTGATGGGGACTTCTCAAGGCACGTGGTAAAGCTAATATCCTATCTATTCCACATACTGACATAGTCATAGGAGCCTAGATCAGAAAGTTGTAGTACCCAACACTGTGTGATCCAGTATGTTCGCATAACTGCAGCCGCTCCAAGTCGCTCACTCAGTAGAGGCTCGCGCAGGAACATTCCTCCATCATATCTCCAACGGTCTTTTATTGGCAAATGCTATGATGTAGCATCTCAGTGCGATTGAGGCCCATTGAAGCGTGGAAAACTATGGCACGCCAAACATGGCACTAGCATCGTCGGTTGCCCGCTGTGCTTCTTCATTTGGCTGATATCTGAGCGGAGCAGTCGATGTTCAACCTGAAATGCGGACTGACTTGACACTAGACGATAGCATTCCAGCATCAGCCCCTTGCAGCCGACCAAACTCATTGCCCCAAAGCAGCCATACCAGATTTTCCCACATTACGCTCCACTGAGACGTCAGTTCTGCGGTACAGAGCTCTGGTCGCTCGCGCAACGCCCGTGCTAAAAATATGTAAACCGGGTGTGCGTGTGGGCTCGACTCGGTACCACTCCGACGTTCAGTGTTGGTAGACCTACAAGGCTACATGTACATCTACATGGTGTGATCAAGTAACATCAGTTGTACTGGCCTGTACCAGACCGTTTCCGGTGTGTGGTGGCGAGTTGTGTGATAGGTACGTGCACAACACTGCTGATCATGTCAGTGTTACTCCCACAGTCCCAGTGTGTTGTGTGATAATCTGATCAGGCAAGTCGCTCCTACTGCCATCGTAGTACACTGCACTGAGTCTGTCCGTCCACACGCTGGGGACCACACACGTAGAACCACGAGGTGTGAGTACCTAACTCGATCTCCTGGAGCTGCGGGGAGTTACCATGGTTATCATTGTTTTCCTGGTTTAATTATGTAGTCTTGCCGCATGTCTTGGCAGCACACAAGAAACAACCATGTACAGAACCAGAGTGTAAATTTAACACAGTGCCAGGGAGTTGGCTAAACTCCCTGATTCAGCAGCAGCTAGGCATGGGCGGGTAATGCTAGTTATTTGCTGCGATAATGCTAAAGGCAATGCTCATAATAATTATGAGGTTGTAACGCCACTTATAATGCTCACACTACTCCATAATGCCAGTTTGAAAGTGGGAAAAGTCCGTCTTGGATCAAGGCCAAAGCGTAGAAGAAAAAACTTAAACAGCAGTGAGCATGTTGTCTGAAACAATCCACTGAGAAGGTTGATTTGCAACGTCAAGTCTCCGGACGAAGCCGGACGGGTTCAGGTGCACGATTTTCGGAACTGGACCTAGCCAGCTTCATGCATGACACCGTTGTCGACCGGCAATTATGCTTGTAATGCCAAGTTTGCATGCGAAATGGTGTTATAATGCCAGCATTATGCCACCTGGAAAAAAGGGACTATAATGCCAGCCATAATGCTAGCATTACTCGCCCATGCCTAACAGCAGCAGTTCGTTTTGGTTTTGCGAATTCAAAATAAAGAAAACAACAACAACAACAACAACAACAACAACAACAACAACAACAACAACACACTCTCTTATTGGCGATGGTGCCATCGTGAGAATAAAGAATTAAAAAACAACAACAACAACAACAACAACTAATTACTTATCTCTTATTGGCCACTGGCTATTTTGAGAATAAAGATTTGAAACAACAGCATAGTGCGTAGTCGACCGATGATCATGAATTCACGATGATGGTACAAGGAGACAAAGAGCATTGCTATCTAATACCCAAGACAGCAGGATTAGCAAACAAGCCAGTTTTCTTTTCCTTTTGGGCGTTGTGTAGTGCACAAATGACGAATCATCAGGTTATAGTAAAAGTAGTCGACTGGTCGACGCATGTACATGACTGTACTAGTATATCAGGCTAGGTCCGTTGCACCCCGTCCTGCAATGGACCGACCTTATTTCGAAGCAGGTCGATCCACCGAAAATAGCTTCTTTTTTGTGTGTCAATGATGCCCATTTCTAGTCAAGTACATGTACCACATTTGGCTGGACCTCCTGAAAGGCCCTGTATCATGAAGGTATGCTACGATTCCCTGATAAATCATAATCATCGCGTACTATAGTCTACATGCAGTCATGACATTTATATGTAGGGACACGGATACATGACGTCACCACCAGTCAGCCATTTAATTTGTCCTTGCTCTCTGCTGGGTCACGACTCACCAGGGTCACCACCAGCGAGTGCCAACGTGTTGGTGTAGGCATGTACCGGTACATGTACAGAGAGTACAGTAGTCCCTCGCTTATCTCCCCCCCCCCCCCTCGGCCGTTCGGCAGTGAAGCATGGATTCTTGAAAGGGTGTGGACAAGCGAGATACATACTGTGCGCTACATGAATATGCACATCGCCATTGCTCTGCAGATGTTCACTGCGGAAAAAGCAGTCAGGGTTGACGATTGGGGCTGGCTAGGGCCGGGTAGAGCCAGTTCAAGCCAACACCTGACTTGACATCAGCCACCCGGTCTGTACCCAACCACTCTCTTCATTAGCACTGAGTCATATACAGGCCAATGGTCCACTTTCGTTCAAAGACAACAATGACTAAACTTACCGTGCCACTGCAACTTGCAAAAGCTGGGAAACTATTTCCCAAGAACCACCGTAACCGCTGGCTGGCCAAAGATGAAGCAACTGACGTTGACACTGGATATAACAAAACTACAACTCAAAAATACAATAAAAAGAAACTAAAGGGCTTGAAAAACTTTACCTAGTACATGCCCACCATTTTTTTGCACTAGTCCTAGATCTAAATGTCTATTTAAAAAAAAGGTGGAAAAGATTCATAAATATTGCGCAGATTTCCCAAAGCGATCTAAATTAAAATGGAGGATGGAGAGAGCCAGTCTTTTGTTCGCATTCTCCACATGTAAAAAGTGCCGTGGCGATAAGTTGGATGAAGTAGTAGATGCTTTGAGGTACTAGTAGATGCTGATGAATCATGCTCAGTGTTTGATTAGCAAAAACGTAGATGCATCTTCTTCTACCATTGGAAGGATAGTTCGATTTCTGTGATTATTTCGTTCGGGTTCTTTTTCGGCTCGGTGCTTGACTGCCACGCTTAGTAGGGGGTCTGCCTGCTGCTTGGGGTCTGCCTGCTGCTTGGGGTCTTCCTGCTGCTTGGGGTCTTCCTCGTGCACGGCGACCACCTCTTGCAGTACGCTGTGTAGTCGCAGCAGTAGCGATAGCTGCAACGGTGACATCCTCATCAGAGGAGCTATTGTCGTCATCATCAGTTGCTGCTGCTGCTGCCCCACGGGATGAGTTAGAGGACTCGTGACCACTGTCGACATCCTCACTGTCACTGCCTGAGCTGCTCAGACAAGGACCACCGCCGCTTCTCTTCCGTTTCGTCGACTTACCAACACGCCTCGCTTGCTGTCCTGTGGTACTCGAAGACGGCTCAGCAGATGCTGACTCAGATTCCTTCTCTCTGTCCAGCATCCTTAGCACGACACGCTTTACCCGCTTGCTCTTGATACCTGCAGATGCCGAAGTACCACTAGTGCCTGGCTGCTTGTCGAAAAACTGCGTGATTGCTGGCTGCGTATCGGCCTACATAGTACAAACACATGTCCAGCACAGACACAACACATGCCCAACACATGCACAACAGGAAACGGAACCAATAGCGGGTCAGGTTTCGAGTCATGAGTATATGTCCAGTACCTCTCTACGTTCGAACAGGCCACAGATTATCGGTGAAAACATGACATTATGGAACAGCAGCTGCTGTAACAGTGGCGTAGGTCGATTGCTTCATGGTATAACCAAGAACCAGTTACGGCGGCTTATTTCGTGTACACACACAGCAGTTCTGCACTCTCTTTTGACAAGGCATGTAGATTTGAGATAGCGAGGAACCACTTTGAATGCACCCGAGGTTACGCCCCGTTATAAAAGAGAAAAAGCACCTGACAACAGAGATAGCAGCAGTCCTAGTTGAGATGCACACTCTAGTCTTTGACCAGAGCACACGGGATACGGGATAGCTCACCTTTTTACGGTTTATTCGCTGTATAACCGGAAGGAGGATTTCGTTGGTGCGCTGTGTTGCCCAGCCAAACACATCTGAGGTGAATCTGGACAAGGAAATGAAAAGACAAGAAGGAAATACAACAGTTAGGGCCGATTTCTGTTGTGATCTCGAACTCGTCAGTCACTGAACTGATTTTATTGTAAAGAAGACACGAACTTATAGAGTGTGAAGAAGAGTATAGCGAGATAGAGAGCGGAGGAAGGAGAGCCACTGGATAGCTGGATAGTGTATCAATAAGCGCACGAGGGGAAGGCTAGACAGTATGTCTCTAGACATCAATAGGTATTGTACGAAAGGCCAGTCAATAGCACTAAGGAGTGAAGTCAACCACAACACAGACAATAGCTTCAGACAATCATGACAGGCATGATACGGATGATATAACAATTTCCACTACGGTATCGTGAGTGCCGTGCCGTGAGTACCCATCGTGATTTGCTCACGTGAGGGGCAGTTTTGGCGCGAGTTCATTCCGTGGCTGGTGCCGTACCGCGTCGTGGACATTCCGGTGCCGAGGGTCTCTGGGGGGTGGAAATGGCATGCCGTGGTATTCCGTGAGGTTGAAAACAGTGTGTAGTAGGTATTTTACTAATTCCTGATAGGAAGTTTTTTCTTTCTTTTGTATTTGTGGTACGAAGTTTTTTCTTAGCTTTCGGCTTTTCGATTGGTTGATTTTGAGCTTTCTCCAATCATCTCCCCCGCTATATTCCCTCCAGACCCAAGTCAGAGATTGATAAAAATGGTGATCTGGCCTGCCGACGGAATGCACGGAACGACTGTGCGCAGGTGTAAATCACTCTCGGCTTCAAGCTCGTACCGTGGGGTACACGTGACCCACCCAAATCGTCGGCACGGCACTCACGGTACCGTAGTGGAAATCGGCCCTAACGCAGAAGACCCACAGGCACACTTTGGACACATTGAAATGTGCCAATTTACAGTATTGAGAAAGAGACGCTACATAAGAACATGAATGAAGTGACAAAAGAAAGGACCAAAATGTTACATGTTATCTGTAATTTGTGTTAAACACTAACAGTTATAAGAAAGGTGTTGTGTAGTCAGAAGGTGCAACAGCTTGCACAATACTGACTGATGTGACACTGACATTCAACGACCTGATGATAAGGTCTATCACGTCTTGGATGCGCAAACCAACAGCCTTCCAACTTGGAAGGTTCTAAGTTATGAAATAACATGAGAGAGGGGAAGGCGAGCACACTCAAGACGAAAACAAGCTCAATATCACAGCAAACTAAGAATGTTAGCTTTGACGAGATGGTGACGAAAGACGCATCGGGTGGTTGAATGTCAGTATCACATCTGTCAGTGTTGTGCTAGCTGTTGCACCTCCTGACTACACAACATCTTGCTTATAACTGGTACTGTTGGACACAAACTACGAATAACATGTAACATTTTGGTCCTTTCTTTTAAATGTAATCCTTGCCTCTCCATCCGAGTCTTAATAAAATGACTAGAGCACATATACAGTGCCCTGGAGCCCCATGTTCGTCTAGAAAGCAAATAGTTGGCCCCTTTGTTAGCAGACAACTGTCAAAGACGTGTTTAAAAAAATGCAGATACGCCCAACAGCTCCTATGAGTAACAGTGCAATCAATCCTTTACAGCAATGCTGCTTATCTTAGGCGCCTTACTCTCTCAACGCAATCAGATCTGGCGAGTCCCACTCGAACTGTTCCTTCGACAGGTCCACTTGTGGCGTCGTGTAAGCCTTGTAGATGCGTTGGTCGGGAAATCCGACTGGAACAACGAGCTTGCGCTGGATACACGGCAGAACAGGAAGGAGGCACATCCATACACAGTCCTGCTCAATGAAATCCAGTAGCATCACTCAAGTATGCGCCTTGCACCATTTCGCAGCCCAGTGTGCGCAGGTGTAGGGCCCCGCAACGCCCGGCGCGTACTTGAGTGCCGTGACTGGATTTCATAGAGCAGCACTGTACATGTACATGTCTAGTAATGCATTCACAGGCGAATGCAAATCATACCACAGTTGTGAGGTTAGGAAACCAGGAAAAAGTGAAGCACACACACCACTGGACACAGAGTCATGTCAGCCTTCGGGGGTATTCGCAAACACTACAATACTCAACGAAGAACTCCCTGCCGCAGCCAGTGCACTAACAGTTATGTGACTACATTGTTACGCGCACTCTCTGACGTCCACTGCATCTAAGCAAGCTAGCTAGGAATCTCTTGCCCGCAGTGCTTGCAGGTCGCTTTTTCGTGTGATACTCGGGAGCAAGAACCAGCAGCCTGCTCTATTTTGTCTACTCTTTGTACATGTACTACAGTTCGGTGTATTGTTTGATGCAATGTAGAAAGAGGCGCCCTTTTCTTCGGCCCAAGGCTGCCATGCACCAATGGTAATAACGCTAGCAACCACATATCAACCCTTCAACCCCAACCGCCACTCCAGTTGTAACAATGGCACACAACAGTCTACAGCACATGATGTGTGCAGAGAGTCTGGAAGTATTACCACGCGTGAATGCAAAGTTGGCTCCTTTGGCAGCGGTTCTTTCTTGATCGCTTCCTGCCACCAGACCCTACATGCACACATACACACATGCATGCACGCAGACACATACGTGTACACAGAAACACACAGACATACACACACGCACGCACACAAACAATGTCCCAGATAACAAACACCATCACTGCAACCAAGGGATGTATCACAAATACAGGAAATCACCAGCGTAGGACCAGCCTAGGACCAGCCTAATCAACAGAACATTTACCATTATTGCATTGCTACTACATGACAAGCATATGCAGTAACATCGACACTAGTAGTAGGAGAGGTGGTAGACTGACAGTACATGTACTCACCTGAACTTTTCCAGTCCGGTCAGCACTCCGCCGCGGAAATCATTCAACACTTCCATGGCCAGCACACAGCCTACGCCTACACACGCACAGATGTAGTCCAGACAATGGGGACATTTAGCTAACCGTAATGGCTACACAAACATGGGTGACTAGCACAAAGTTCCTGCAGTGGAATTAACATTCACGTTTTCATAATGTGGTGTTTAGTAAGTCATAAAAATTCAAACCGTATCAATGTACGGGTAAAAGCAATCTTTTCGTTTTGCTCACACAAGAGCCGATAGTCCAACCTCGCCACTATCCCAAAGTGGGACACTCATACATGTATCTTACGAAGGCAATTGTCTCTCATAAATGTGTACTGAGTGAGGTGAACAGTGTACAAATACTGCTGAATGTGATGTGTATCTATACTCATTACGTCATAATTTGTATTGCATGCACGCGCGCACACACACACACACACACACACACGCACGCACGCACCCACACACGCACACGCGCACACACACACACACACACACACACGCACACACACACACACACACACATGCACACACACACACATGCACACACACACACACTCACACACACACACACACACACACGCACACACACACACGTAATAGTTGAGTGTGCTTCTTCTTCCTGTTAGGTTTTCATGACACGTATGTTTCCGTTCCCAAGTCTTCAGTATCGAATAAATAGTAACGTATCAGAATGTAACATGCAACACAGTATCCGTACATCACAGCAGATGTACAGTACGCCGGACTGGAAGAGTGTCCACACACCACTAACCTTGCACTCCAGTCGTGTAGTCACTCCCACACAGCATGCCCACACCAATCAACTCCTCCTGGGAAAGACCTACATGTACATGTATACACAACGCCGACAACACAGCCACAGTGAACCAAGAGAACCATTAAGATAATTGTAAATTTAGTGAAGTGGAGAGCGAAAGCGACGAGGCAAAGAGCGCTGGGTTGATCGCAGCAGTTATACAATTCCGGACATTCCCTGCACAGGTACTGAAATGTGTATATTTAAGATACTATCTCATTATCCTACTGTCCCACTATCTCTAAGATAGGGCATATAACAGCACAATCAGGAGTGCACATCCAGAAGTAGACAGCCTCTCGGTACCATCAAACAACACTGCAAGCATGTACACGTACCAGCATTACAGGTAGAATCAGAGTCACCGCTAACTTCCTCACTCACCCATCCTGTTCTTCAAGGTCAGAGCCGTGTATTGCTCGGCATCCCGGTCCTGGTTGAAGAAGTTCTTGTAGACGGTCCTGGCGCCAAACAGCCACACATCACTGTCGTCCGTGATGATACCCTCCACAAGACCATTCTCCTCCAGCCACGCACACTGTGCTTCGGCTTCCATTGGTGCAACCAAGTACGGCACGCCGAACAAGTTCAGCAAATTCTGCAAAGCGCAAGGACATGACATTCAAACAGGCGTTGTGGGGTGATTCAGCTCATGAACTTCACACACACACAACACACACACACACACACACACACACACACACACACACACACACACACACACACACACACACACACACACACACACACACACTATAAGAACAGAGACAACCTCTAACAATTGAGATGACAAATTGTCATTGTAAATTGAGAAGCCAGATGCAGCTGAAATTTTCAGCAAATGTACATGCAAAAGCGCATAGAGAATGTGTACATCAAACGGGCTGCAATAAATTTCACAGCTTGCGTGGAGTCAGTCAGACTGAGTGTTCCACCACCGCCTTCAAGGACCAAGGCGTTAGATGCAGCTCCTAAAGCTGCACATGCATACCTTAATACAGAATACGTCATTACATACATTGGGAGAGTCAGCAGCACTGAGAATGCATTACATAATTGCGGAAGAGCTAGCTACTTCAGAAGTAGTAGCAGCATAGGGCATCGTACCTGCGTCTCCGTCATCATCTGGCTGGTGAGACCGGATATGCGCCTCTGCTGTGTCTGCTGGTGACGCTGCAGCGTCTGCTGCTGTGCGCTGAGGTGCTCGTGCAACTGTGCTGACGACATCTGAAACACCGTAATACATGATTGTACAGTGTGGCAGACACCATTAGTCTGAGTCAGCGCAAGCAGAACACGGCCAAACTCTGTGCAACATGCTGCATGCTCTCGCTGGACGGCTCATCAGTCATTACCTGTAAACATTAGGAGGGGGTCCTGCTCCAAGTGACATTCACTACTATAATAGATCGCGCCTTGATATGGAAAAGAGAAGTTTAGTTACGAACATACCTGCAATTGGGGTTCTTCCCATTTGCTCCGTTCGCCGGCCGCACTAGAAGAATTGTTCGGACTGCCACCTGCCACCGCTAGAGATATGGTTGGTGGTTGCAAAGAAATCTCTGGAGTAGGAGAAACTGACGGTTCACCATCGGGCATGACAACTTGAATGTCTGCTTCAGGGTTGGTATCTTGTACCCCTGTGGACATAGAAGTCTTGCCTGCCAGTACCGAATACTGCTCATCAACTACAGTCGACGGCGCTGGAATGAAGTCTGACTCGTCAAACAGAGAGAATCCAAGGCCAGCCGCCGGTGCTTCGGACACTGGAACAACGATCTGAAGACTTGCATTCGACTGACTGGCACTGGAGACAGCTCCGTGAGAAGATTGTGATTGTACCGGACTATCCATAGTGGAGGGTGGAGCAGCTACGCCGTCGGTCGGTCCAGAATCTTTTGGATCTTTACCATCCATGTGGGCCCCGCTACTGGCCTTCGTGAACTCCATTGGTGCATCAATGTTAGGTTGGCTGTTGGAGGCTGGGTCTACATCCGGTACTTGATCACTTTCACTGAGGAAACCGCCTTTCTGCTGAAGTAATCTGCTACTGCTATTCGACTGACTGCCTTTTGGAGATGGGACTTGATCTGCAGCATCGTCAGAGTCTAGGGTAAAACCTCCAGCCGCTTGCATACCGGCTGAACTAGGACGGGCAGTGGAGTCATCATCATTATCATCATCGTCGTCGTCGTCAATTAGAAATCCACCAGCACCAGCACTCTGGACAGCATTGCTCGACATTGCGCTAGTTGAGGCCACACCGCCAGCAATGTCACCTCCACGGACACTGTCATCTGAGTCGGAGGGGACATGAATGGTGACCTCACCCCTCGTGCTAGCGGGACGTTTCTCGAGTGAAGAGGTGGCGGCAACCGCAGCAGTCAGATTTTCCTCATTTGCCACTTCTTTGGCAGCTTGCCCAGCCTCGGTGTCTGAGCCATCACCGCCGAACAGATTCTTGTCCCTATCCAGCCCAAGCTTGTGTTTGATGAACACAAAGTGCGTGGAGCTGTCCGATGCAAGCTGACTGGCTTGGATGGAAGCGCCGTCCAGGTTCAGTGAAGACGAAGACGAAACACCTATCAGGAGCAACACAGAAGCACAGACATTTCCTCTCAAAATTTCTGTGCACCCTCTGAAATGCAGGGCTGACGTCATAGTATACTTCAGTACGATGTGCTAGCAACTAAGACACAGATGAAATAATCTGACTGGAATGGATGATTGAGGTTGTGAAAGGAATGCTGAATATCACCTCCAACACAACTCCAGACTAAAATCAGCTGAATGCTTGCATGACAATACAGAAAACAAAGCACAGAAGATAGCCATGGTCGTGTACAACCGAGACAAGACTCTGTTCTTAACCAGTAAAACCAGGAGATGAACCTGGTCCGAAATTTGAATATCTCAATCAAATTACTGCAACGCAGAGACCATTTAACGCGCGAGCTGATGTAAAAAAAAGAAGAGCAAAGTTAGCCGGATTCACCTGACTAGGAACACATCAAGCAAAGACATTAGCATCGGCGGGCCACCACTTCGCCAATATATCCTCAGTGCCGAATGCAGACCTAACAAGTGAGTCAGGGAAGAGGGGATGAGTCTCTCAAAAAAAGCGGGTGTGTAACAGCACTATAACCCCATAAACCGCATCCTTGTGAGATGATGTACAGATAGTAAAAGACACAGACCGAGTATATTGTACCTGATTGGCTACTGGCACCGGACGCAACAACTCCTGCCGACTGCCGCGCCAGATCGGTACGCACGGACCTGAGTCGCGTGCTCAGCTGTGAGCGCTGCAGCAAGTTCTGCAGCTGGAACTGAGAGAAGTCGCTGGCTTTCTGCATGCACACAGCACGACCGGAATGAACTTGCTAAAAAAATGATGTGAAATGATGTTCAGTGTTTTGCAGAGTTATGGGAACAAGCTTGTCAGCTCGAATGCCTTTCTTCTAAATGAAACTGCAAGAAGCCTCACCCATACTGCTCAGGAATAAACGTGTTCAAAGAAACACACCCCTCTGAAACAATAGGATGACCGAAGAGAACACGGAGGCCATGCGTCACTTCATCACAGACAACAGCTAGAAATGTTGCAACAAAGTACATGTACCTGAGGCATGGCGTCGAGATGTGACCAGGAGTTCTCCTTGAAACAGCGTTTCATCTCCACCAAGACTTCATGCTGTGTCTCTGGCGGCAGAGCCTTGAAGTCGTCTGATTCAACGTCCACCGGCCGACCGGCTAGAAGAAAGTCTGCCTGCGATAAGCAACACGGAGCCGATGAAATGAAAATAAATGTGTGTGTGTGAGAGAGAGAGAGTGTGTGTGTGTGTGTGTGTGTGTCAGAGAGAGAGAGAGAGAGAGAGAGAGAGAGAGAGAGAGAGAGAGAGAGAGAGAGAGAGAGAGAGAGAGAGAGAGAGAGAGAGAGAGAGAGAGAGAGAGAGAGAGAGAGAGAGAGAAAAAGAGAGCGTGTTGCTGAAGCTGTGCTCACTGTCTCAGTACCATCAGTACGGTGGATATAAAGTAGCTACCATGTATTAACAGTGACACACCCAATCACGTAGTGAGGGCAGGCAATTAATTCACCAGCAGTCAGCATACCATCTAGATAAATCCCACCCGACAAGTTCAGAATCAACACAAGCAGACACAGAATTACAATCTTTGCAGCATGGCGCAGCACTGCGTACCTTGCCCGTGCGGGTTAGCTGTGGCAGCAACGATGCAGCACTGTTTTCATCATCATCAGGCTCTTCATCACTGGATACATACACACAGACATTCACACAGCAAGAAGATCCCCTTGCAACTCAGAATGGCACGTTTCCTAATGATCATGACGATGTCACCAGGTATTCACATGATCATGACGATGTCACCAGGTATTCACATGATCATGTCATCAGGTATTCCCGTGATCAAC